ACTCTCTCATACCAGACCGCTGTTGTTGTGCTGCCTGTGCTTGTTTTTTAAAATTGACAATCTTTACTTTTTACATTACTTTTTTCCTTAAAGAGATGAGTACCTCTGACTAAATAGTAATATATTACGTTTTAAAAATTCTTGTGGCTCACCAGTTGAAAATCACTGATTTGGGGTTTAGGCAATTTTACAACAACAAAACCAGATAACTTGTCCTCAAACACCAACAACATCTACATCCATGTGAAGGCATTTTCCACACTCCTTACACTTCCACAAATAAGAGGGCCCCGTCTACTTGTACGTCACTAGATACCTAGAAGTCCCGTCATTCCACGTTGATCCAGGAGGTGGTAGGCAGTTTCCTTTTCACGTGTCCTGGCTTCTGTCTCACTCCACATGTGTGCCTCCCGGGATCCAAGGATGAGCTTCCTTTGTTGCTTTCAACAACATAAATGTAAACAGAAGAAAAAGAATTATCTCAAAATGTCTATGAAAATTTGCCTTCAAAGTATGCTACGTTTTGCTTTGTCAACTCAACATTTTATGTTGAATAGAACGTTCTCCAAAAATTTAGTGAGGCACATTGGCTGGATTTCAGTGACATTTTAAAGCTCAATTTTTGAAATCACTAAGTTCAGACAAGGTCCTGTGTCATCATGAATCTAGCCAAGGCCTCTGCAATACATGCTGACTTTTCTTCACAAGATCACTTTACCTGGAATGGTTTGTGTCTCTGTCGCATATGCAGTTACTAGGATTTTCAGGCTCGTGACAGTCCTGCCTAGGTAGCACCCACAGCAACCTGTCAAGAAATCCCAGAGGTCAAATCCCCTTGTTTTCAGTGATCAACTATGTGGGTAGAAGGTACTGCGTGAGGCTGAGAAAGTCGTCATAAAAGACACCCATTAAACACGCCTTGGTTTATTTTTTTATTTTTTAAATATATCTTTATTGATTTCAGAGAGGAAAGGAGAGGGAGAGAGAGAAACATCAATGACGAGAGTCATTGATCGAGCCCACAACCCGGGCCTGTGCCCTGACCGGGAATCGAACCCTGATTGCCTGGATCCTAGGTCGACGCTCAACTGCTGAGCCATGTCTGGCCGGGCTTTGCTTTATTATTAATGCAGTTCAAATCCTGAGAGTTACTGTATCTATGGCCACTCTCATGGTAAGTAGAATGCAAGTGTGATTAAGACAGAATCTGATAATGTGTTATCAACTGGGTAATGTACCTGAAAACTTCATGATATACTAGCAACTATATTAAACTTCTTGTTGAGGTAAATAAACATTTTATTTAAAATGAATGTAAGATCTGGCCACGCTAGAGCATCCAAGGGTCTCGGTTTTGATTCCCAGGCAGGGGCAGGTACCTGGGTTGCAACTTTGATCCCTAGCCCTAAGTGGGGCACCTGCAGGAGGCAACAATCGATTTCTCTCTCTCACATCATGTTTCTCTCTCCCATCCTCCCTTCTACTCTCTCTAAAAAACGTCCATGTAAAAGTATCCTTGGGTGAGGACCATCAATAAAAGTAATAAACGTAACACCCCGGGCCACTGTGGCATGGTGGTTGGGTGTTGCCCCATGCACTGAAGGTTGCTGGTTTGATGCCTGGTCACAGCACATGCAAGGTGTGTGGGACCTGACTTCCAGTAGGGGGCATACTGGAAGAAATCTAAGTTTTGCTCTCATGTCGATGATTCTCTTTCCCTCCCTCTACTTTCCTCTCTAAATGAAAATATTTTTTTTTAGAAAATGAATTTTTCTGACCTTGGTAAGATCATTAAAATTCTAGCTGTTCCCTACTCTCACACAATTCCCTTAATGACCTGTATTAAGACCTACAAGATGCCCGAACGGGCATAGCCAGCGGTTGAGGGTCAACCTAAGATCCAGGCAATCAGGGTTCAATTCCCAGTCAGGACACATGCCCAGATTGCGGGCTAGGCAGCTGATCAATGACTCTGTCATCATTGATGTTTGTATCGCTCTCTCCCCTTCTCCTTAATCAATAAAATTTTTTTCTTTTTTTAAAAAAAAGACCTACAAGAAATGAAACATCAGTATCAATTTTGTTTATAAACGTGAGACTTTTGATCTCATTTTTAAGTGAAATCAAAAATCCACTGAAGTAACAGTGGGGATAATTGGGAAATACTGATCAAATGGCATGAATTCTTGATTATAATACAGGTTCTATGGATCTAATGGACAGTATGATCATTATATTTAATGCAAAATGTCTAGTACAACTGAACCTTGAACCATGAGGATTAGGGGTGTCTACCCCTGGGGCACAGGAGAAAACCAACATGTAACTGACTTCCTACTACCTAACTACTTACCCCTTGGTCAACTGGACTTGAAATTTACCTCACAGTCCACGGTAAATGTTCCCCCTGCATGTATCAAATGTTGTACATGATAAAATTACCACTTTATACATCATGTAACTATGAAGCTGGGTACAAATTACAAGGCTTGTAAAATTTTGTACAATTCCATAACCAAGAACCAGTGAGTTTGTTAAGTCTGGGAACTACATCAGTCTGATAGACTTTTATACAAAGAGTTCATACAGTTTATTTTATATATAAAAAACATCATTTATATCAGGTAATTTTATCTTGCCTGCAAACCAAGGAAGGTTTGGATATTTTAAGTTACTTACCTGATAGTGACCCACCTCAACTGTAGTCATTCGGAAGGTCTACTGTCCTTGGTAGACATTTACTTGAAAAGTGATGATTTAAAAAGTGGAAGATACACAAACCTCTGCTGGGGGAAAAAAAAATGAAGACAATCAGTCCGGCAGTCTTGAGTTATTAACAAATTAATGCTTATCTTTACCCAAAGTAGCTTACAAACTAACTCCCACAATCACTAAGGGTTCACTCATTACCTAGGTGAACTCTTTGCAGTAAACGCTAAGCTTTCTGCCCCTTCCTTTCACAAGTCCACTCTTGCAAAATCAACTTACCCTGGCCCTACATATGAGCATTCCTTTTTATTAAACTATTTTATTCCTAATTATTGAGCTTAAAGAGTATACATTTCCTCTTCTGAACATTTCCAATAAACACATCAGTGGACTGAAGTGTCAACTATATTTTAGGATCTAATTCACACTTCTCTGAAATACAAATCCCCTGACTTCCAATACTGAGACCCTGTCATGAGTATCAAAAAATATAGGTAAATACTTACTCATGGGTGGGCAATGACGATTGCTCCAGCATCCTGTCCTGTACTCTGAGCACACAAGGCAGAGCACTGTAAGTTGCCCCACAAGTATGTAGAAGGAAACCTACTCCACGTGCTTTGATTCCACGCCACTGTTTCCTTGTACATGTGGCCTTACAAGACCTCTCTTCCATTCTAGCCTCCCTCCAGGTATTTATGGCATTAAAGTAGAGGAGACCATGTGGGCGTCTTGGCTCAACCATTTAATCCCCTGGGTCAGGAGTTTCCTTATGTGTGAAGCTTTTTAACACCACTCAATGCAGAGGGAAAGTCAGAAAATTGAAATGATCATCACAACCATACTATCACAAGAATTAAAGAGAAACACCTATTTAAGTGAATTGATTAGCAAACTATATCTCATTCCTATATAGTAATTTGGAGACAAAAACTATCCCAGTCTTCAGTCTGACCTCAACAAAACCAACAGGCAAGAAAATATACGACAGTCCCTGGCAGTTTCATTGCTCTATGCATTTATTTGCAAATATTAATGCAGCAAAGGGGACATAAGCTCACAAACACTCTACACAGTTTCACGAGACGCATTGCAGGAAAAGAGTGACTAAGGACAACAGTATCCTAGGGTCTTGGTGGACGCATTCCTGGGGGAGGTGGACCTGGAAAATAAAGCAAAATCCCATGAGACTGTTACCCAAGGTGCACGTACACATCCAGGGACCTGGCTGGCACCACCGTGCACCTTCGAACCCACTCACCTCTGATCCCGGGTGGAGGGGGTCTCATTCCTGGAGGAGGCATGCCTATCGGTGTCCCTCGAGCAGGGGGAAGCCCAATTGGTGGGCCCATGGGTGGTCTCATACCAGGTGGAGGAGCCATAATGCCTAGGAAAGAAAAATGGCAGAAGTAAGACCTCACAGAAAGATCAAAACTAAACCCAAGACAATACTGAAGCAAATGGACCCAGACACCAAGTAAAGTTGACCAATTTCTCCCTGACCATTAACCATGTAAGCCATCTGCAACTCAAGAAAGTCCAAAGCTGTCCAACTAAAAGCCAGTATCTGAAAGTGGGAACTGAGTCTAAGCTCACTAGGAGCTGAGACTGAGTATTTTCTGTCATCCTTTCAAGATGCTCTAGTCTCTTACAGACCCATACCTTGATCAAAGAGCAAAAACTCTTTTGCCTCTTGTCTATCAATTCCTTACCTGGAGGGGGGGTTGCCCGGCCCACAGGTGTGGGGGGAGTCCCCCGACCTGGTGGGTACTGAGTTGGGGCTCCAGCAATGCTGGCAGTGGCCGCAACAGCGGCAGCCGCGACAGTGCCTCGTCCCTGTGGAGTCATTACCTGAGAAGGATGGCCAGAGAGACAATCCAGGTAAGGCACATCCTCACATCACTCAAACACAGAAAATAAATGGTGGGCCTATTACACTCATAGCAATTCTGTCTCCAATTCTCATTTTTAAAATTTTGGCAGACTAACTATCTCCTTTCAATCAACATGTCCCTTTTAATCTAATGAGCCCTTTTGCCTTTTCTCAACTCTGGTTCATCCATACTTAGGTGGCTGTAGTCCACCCCTCCTGATGCACTGTTCCAGTTCCTCACCTGCTGGGAGGGTCCCCCAACCCCTCGTACAGGGCCTGCTAATCCCGCAGGAGCCTGTGGAATTGGAACACCAGCTGGTACTCCTCTGCCAGCGGCCCTGCCAACCCCGGGGCCTCCTGCAGCTCCTGCAAGTGGTACTCGAGCAATGCCAGTCTGGAAGCAGAAACAGGGTAACTTGATTTACCAAGTTATCAGTCATCTTAAAATCCCCAGAAGACCACTCCCCTTCCCACCAGGTCCCCACCCCACTGATCTATTAGTTCTGTATTCACAGGATTAAGTGGTCAAGGGCACCATGGAGGCCCCTGCTGTTTAAATGCGTATTTATCAAATGTGATAACATTATCTCTCCTATGACCCTGCCAAAAGGTAAATCAGCATCCCTGGACCCCTTGTATTCACAACAGGAACTGACATCAGATGTCAGGATGTTTTACTTGACAAAGCACTCCTCAGCAAACCCCTACAGCATCCAATGCCCTCCCTCAGTGTCTGCCCGCTATCTCTTCCTTACATCTTTAGGGGGCGGCCCCTCCACAGTCATGGAAACCAGGTTCTCCCCACGCAGCAGCACCAGGCCCAACACCCGCTTTTCTTCCCGCTCTGGCTGCTTCGCATTCTTTGGCCTATAAATCAGAAGTCAATTTTCATAAGGTAACTCAAGAGATCACTCACTCACTAAGGTACTTACAGATCATTACACATGCTCGTTAATCATTTATGCAAAGACACTCACCCAAAAACCATTGTGACAAAAAGACACGCACCCACAACAGTAAACTGTTGAGATCTAAGAATGGGTGGTGAAGCTTTCTTATCCAAATTCAATATCCCTAGAATATGCCCTAAATTACTCATCAAAACTAATTTGTCAAATACAGATGCAAATTCCTTGGCCAAGACTATTTAAAGACAAATTGAAGCCTCAGCTTTCATGTTAAGAGAAATAAAAGCTTTTTAATCTAGTTTCTTCAAATGATAGTAACAAAAATACAGGGGTGGGTAAAAGTAGGTTTACACTTGTCCCTATGGAAAATACATTAATAATACAAGCATAAACTGTGTCTCATGTACTCAACTGTATACCTACTTTACCCCACAGCCTGTATGTCGGTGCGCCATTAGGGTTCTCACATATGACATAGGTGAAAACAACTGACACAGTGCCATTCAATCCGTCAGCTCCACTGGGCACTGAGGGGGGAAAAAAAAAAATCACATACAACTTGAAGCATTATTTGGGTAGAACTGTCTGTGTCTAGTGAACAGAGAAGTTAAGCATTCGACCAAAGCTCTTGACAAATGCCTTTATAACCAACCACATCATAAGCCTTTTATTCTTGACAATAAAATGGTGAACTATTTAAACCGAAAAATAACATTGACACATCCACCATCAAGGTATTTTATTTGACCCAACTTTTGCAAGAAGGATATTAAGAATTTTAATTAAGGGAAGGTCAAGGTACATGTTATGGATTCTATTTAAATGTGACAGACTACAGCTAGCAGGCCAGGTTGAGCATCACGTTTTCCCTTTTTACAAAACCTCAACAAAATGGGCAAATTAAACTTCTAGACAGCTCATGTGTCATGGGAACACAGGAAAGCAAGCCCAGGCTACATGCCATGCCCTGTAAGTTACGCGCCCACAGAAAAGCCTGCAACAAAGCCACCTGGGAACGTTTGGAGGTATTACAAGCATGAAGGAATGTTGCAGAAAATGTCAACCTACTATTCCCGTTTCCCAATTTTTAAAATGAGTGATGTACCGTCCCCCTCACCCAGTCCCCACCCCAAGGAGGACTCACTTGATCTTCCTGAACTCGTCACAATCACAGAGGATCAAGTTCATGTGTTTGTCAAAAGCCTTAAAGGTGCCGATGAAGATGCGGCCGTCCTGCAGGATGCAGCGCATCCTGTAGTCAATGTGCTGCAGCATCTTGCTGCTCTTTCCCACGGTCTGGGAGGGGGAGGAAGAGTCAGCAGCTTGTCCAGGGCTACTCTCTCCACCTCCCCACTCCCGGGCCAATACAAATGGGGCTTCATCGCCCTCTCATTTCAATTCCAACTTTCAGGGCCTGTCCTTCATAAATTTTCCATCAGCCACAACTTGGGTAAGTTTCTCGAACTCCATTCTCATTTTTGTCCCTGTAAAGCACCTTTTCAAAAGACTTTTCTCCTAACCATCCCTCCACTGAAACTTTCATATGCAGACAAGGTGCATCTCCATTTACTTCCTGTGGCCCTTTGGGAGACCAAAGACCACTCTAAAATCTAATTTTCCCCACTTCTCAACCAATTTCCGCCCCCTTGGGTTATCCTATCTATCTGTTGAAAAGACAGTCTAAATAACAAAACTGCAAGACTGGTTAGCATGCTTTCTTTCAAGACTATTTTCCTTTCCTCTAATCAAACTGTCCGTTTTCAAACTAGATTTCTATTGTAACTTGACCCAAGAGTTGCCTGTTTGGAGATGGTCCCTTATTGTCATGACTGAAACTCTCCAGTTTACTCACATTGTAAGATTCCTGAAAAATGTTTCCCAAACCATTCTACCAATATGACAACTGGCAGTTCTCCAGTTGTTGGTCCAATCAATAAAAGCTCTATAGAGCAAACACCTTCTATATGGATTTACTATTTCTACCATCGAATCACCTCACACTCCGGGAAAACTGTTACACTGGGCCCATATAGAATTCTTACCCCTCTGCCCCAATAAGCATCTTACCATGATTGCTGTTCCACCAAATCCAACGTCCACAGTCAAGTCTCAGGATCCTTAAGACCTAAGGGAAGGCTACAGATAAAGGTATGACGCAGGCTCTGCTACAAACAATGCAAGCTGGGCAGAAGCTTCAAACAGCAGGTGGAGCCTGCAGAGGAAAGCATTGTCGAGCTGCACTGCAATCTATTTGGCATGAAAATCACTGAAAGATATTTAAGACACCCCCATACTCTACAAAGTCCAATTTCACTCCTCTCACCTGAACTCCATTTTAGGCACCTAAGATTAATGAAGTTTGTGGGTGTCTGATACACAATCTTCTATTTGGTGTATTAATTAGTTGCACGTCCCAAACTATTTCACATTTTTATACTTTATGTGATCGCCACAAATTATAGTAATCATGGGACTGTGCAAACTTAACACTATTGACTATTCCTCACCTTTTCACCCTTCCCCACCCACTCTTCAATTTTTATACAAATTGTTAAATGTTTCCTATAAAATAAGTTTTATTTTATTTTTCATTTGAAAATTTGTTACTTCCTTACTATCCTCCTTAAGATTAGCGCATCATGCTCTGGTCCCAAGTTGACACCAACTCGTCTCAACTTCAAATCTGATATCCGTATGCTTCTCCCTGTATTAACCTGGCTTTGTGCAAATGTTTCCTTCTTTGCTGAACCACTGAAATCTTTTTAAGCTCATCCTCCAACCAATTTCCTCCAAAATATTTCTAGGTAACTTTTCTACCCCAAAACTAAGTGTTACACATCCTGCCTAAAGCTTCCTTTGGTACAAGGGAATATACAACTACTTATATGGATATATAGGTAACTTAGTAATCAAAGGAACTTGCCATTGTAAGAACGTTATCCCAATTTACTAAAAGTGTTTCTATTACGTATGGCAACCAAATATAGCCCAAATTGGTAGTCTCAAACTATTTTAATTATTAAAAATGAAAATATGCAAATCATATTACTTTTGAATAAGCACTTGGTTTTATGCATAAAATCAGCCCAACATAATAAAGCTGGACATATTCCTTTAACAGACATTTCCAATCAGCTTGTTCCAGTTTTTAAGAGAAAATTTGCAAACAGTAACTGGTTAAAGTTAACACTGAATCATTTTCAGGATATGAATATAAACCATTTAAATTGTCGTTATGAATACAGCAACATCAAAATAGTACCATCAAAAATGTTGCACTGTTTTCTGTGGAACTGTGACACTGATCTGGAGGACATATGCGTATGACCACGCATAATGCAGCAAAGTTGGTGAAATGTGGAAGGTAAGCCTTACTACCAAAATTTGACTGTTGAATGTATTTGTGACAGCTTAGGGGTATCAGAGTGTTTTAAAAATCAATTCCTTACCATTACTCAGAATATCTCCCAAACCTGTTGCTCTAATATTGTGCATCCTTTATCCAATCTTTTCTCAAAATCATTGTCCCCATTTGCTCACCAGTGTCCACTGCTGACGCCCGTACATAATTCTAGTATCTATACACTGCCTCTCCCATTACCCAACTAGTGTACTCAGAGATACAAGGATGACGGGGATATCCCCAGACCCGGTATCCGGCATTTAATAAATTATGTCTCGACCTAGTAAAATCAGATTGAACAGACGATAAATGTAGTTACTTACCCAAACTCACAAGTTAACTTAATGCCTACGACTCAGATGTTGTAAATTTGACCTGAACCTCTAACGCAGCCTACATATCCTCACCTGTCCATTGGTTAGCTCACTGTAACCATGCAACCCATGTCAAAAGACACTGCTATGTACAACGACCGACTATCTCAACCTCGAAGAACCAAATGCTTCTAGAAGGGAACAAAGCAGCAGTGTCGTCACTGCTGACCTGTGAGCTCATGCAGAGTTTACCCCGCCCTGACTCGGCTGTCTCAGGGTCCCTCCTTCAGAAGTCCTTAAGCTATAAAAGAAAGCCTCTGCCAAGCAGACTGGCTCAGCTTCCACCTATGATCCAGAAGATCCCTGTATGATTCCTCCCTCGGGGCACGGCTAGAGTTCCAGGCTCCATTCCCAGCAGGCAGCCTGCAGGAGGCAGCTGATCAGTGACCCTCTCCCCATCCTTGATGTTTCTCTCCCTCTCCCTTCCTCTTTTAAAAAAAAAACACACCAAAAAAACATGGTCTCACTTGGCCAGGACACATACAACAGATGCAACAGTATGGAATAATGGTAATATATTAGTGCTTGTTCAAACCTAGGAGACCCTTCACCAAAAATGTGCAAGTGTTTAATAAGTAACAGGATTAAAAAAAAAAAAAAAAAGACCATTTGTTCAGAGCAATGCCAGTTACAAACCACAAAACTTTCCCTTTTTTGAATGTTCCATCAAAAAAAATAGTAGTAAGAGCCAAATGTGGTTCTGAGGAACTAGCGCTCCTGGAGCTCTTGATGGCCATCAGCCACGCTCACCATGCTGTCAGAAAGCCATGTAACAGACACTGAAGTCATAGTAATATTTATACTGTGCAGTGCACACGGGATCCAAACCCTCATTTAAGGTACAAATGTACCTTAAAATTATAGTACTGATACCTATCATAGCTAACTAGAAAAAAATACAAGGTAAATGTCAATAATGGACTATTATTTAATCATTATAAATCACAAATATGAGCACTATGTAATAAATTGGGAATGATATACATGTGAAAAAATAGAAAATGTTTTAAAAGATGAGTCCACCAACCTGTATTTTCAAAACAAGAGCAAATGGGAGAAATCAATTTCAACCTCATGCTGTGTTGAAACATGGGCATACTAAAAGTTTTTGGTTGATTTTCCCATTTTTCTTGGCTATTACATCGCTTTAGATTAATAACTTAAAAGGAAATGTTGTCAATAGTTAAAATTTCTTTTGAAAACTACCCAAAAACACATGTCTATGTGACTTTTAACATGATTATCATCCCTGATGCTTACCCCAGAAACTCTCCGGGTTCTCTACACCCTATAAAGCTCGCTTCTCAACCCCTTTCCTTAGCTCCTTCTACTCCCCCCACTGGCCCAGCTAGTGTTACCTTTGGATGTGGGTGGTTTCTGTTACACAAGGTAACATGTCAGGTTTCATGTGCCCTTCAATCTGCCATTGCAGTGCCAGTGCAGCCACAAACCATACACAAAAATCAATGGGCATGGCTGTGTGCCAGTGATATTTAATTCACAAAGGCAGGCAGTGAGTGGCTCACTTCTTTACCACCCTGGTCTAAAAATAATCCCAACAACTAGTGCTGCTTAGATAAAGCTAGCGCTTGAAAATCCGGAAGCTAATGGTCCTAACTTGCAGATTGTAAGTTATGACTTAAATATTATACTTAAGAACTTATAGAAGTAAATGACCTTCACTGAGGAGCAAAAAAATCCTCTTAAATAACTGCACACTTAGGTATTTAAGAATGCCCTTTCTATGGGGATAGGAACAATGACCTGATTTCACTGTCTGAAATCAATTCCACTGTCTTACAGCCACATTCAGGCAATCTGAGTAATCTGAGGTTTTCCTTAAAATTTTTTGTTTTACTTTAAAACCCAAAGGAGTGGCCATAAACAGGACTCATTAATGATTTAATATTACCAACAGAAATAAAGAAAATCTAAGGAAACTCACCTGTAAGCCCCTTCATGTCTCAGTTTCTAAAAAGCATATATTAAAACCTTTGCATTGATGTCATTCCATTCTTAAAGTTAAAAAAGTCACAAAGGGAAAACAATGCATTAAATCAGAATCAAAATATGAATGGTTCTCCTACGAAATGCAAGCGACCAACAAAAACAGACAGACTGCAAATAAATCGACAGCACATTGAAAAATCATAGATAACATCTTTATTACATAATCACCTGATTGAAATACATTGGTGAAAACAAAAAAATGAGAAAAAGGCAAATTAAAAAAGGCATGAGTAAATAAGCATGGGAAAATAGTTTGCTTTTCATTTGCTAATGAATGTGAGGTACACTCACAATTCAGAAGGCATAAATTTAAATTACGGATGCAGGTCAGTGTATTGTAACTGGCCTTCCATTTTTAAGACAGTGAAGACTAATATAACTTTGTATAGTCGAACTAATATATTTTGTACGTAATTTAGAAAGTGTGTAAGTTCTTTTCAATTTATGTGTACATCTGAAGAAATAATTGTTTTTTGCAAAGCCAGTCACTGAAGCTATTTTCAAACTACCAGCAGGAAAAGAAAGTCTCGGAGAGAGTTCCAAAACATTCATTAGCAAGATTTTCAGCCGTCATTTGTAATGATTTTTCATTATGTTAAGTTGAAAATCAATACACGTTAAACATGAAGAAAACTAACTCCCTAAACGCATGCACCCCGAGGAAGCGGGCAGGAGGCTCGGCAGGGGCGTCGGTGCCCGCCGCTGGCCCTGCTGTGACTGTTTTGAACTCCGGGGAAGTGCTTCCGGTACGAAGCTCTTAAAGAAATCCCTCGCGGAACCGCGTGGCCGCGCACCCGTCCCGAGGCCGCCTGCGGTCCTGACCGTGCCTATCAGCTCAAACCTGGTTTCCTGGACTCCGCTCCGGGCCGTCCCCACCGCCTTCAGCCCCCTCTCGGCGTCTCCGCCACGAAAGCCGGTCGCAGCTCCGCCGCGAAGTCGGCCGCGCGCGCTCGGGGCTGCGGGGAGCGTCTGGGGAACTGCTGACACCTGGACGGAGGACACGCGTCAGGAGGCCCGCGGGGGCGCAGCGCAAGAAAGCAGAGACCCTGCCCTTTAAAACGGATCCTCCTCAGGGGCCCAGCGCAGGCCCCACGGGACATTGTGGAACTCGGGCGTCTGCTCGCAGGGCGCCGGGAGCACGCTCCCATTTGGGGACACACCGAGGACCTGAAACAAAAGCAGGCGCGCCTCCCGCAGCAACGCCGCGAGCGCCCCAGGAGGCCCCCCGCCCGTCGGAAGGAGCTCGCGCCGGCGAGGGCCCGGGTTTGCGGGATGGAGGGCGCGCGTCCCGGAGCTTCTCCCCTCCCTGCGGTCTGCAGGCCCGTGTCTAGTAACGAAGGACCCGCGGGCACTGTCTGTCCGTGTCTACAACCTCCTAACAATAAACCCACCGCTCAGGGACCCTAACTGAGGGGCACAGGCTCCCCCCCGCGGGCCGCGCCCCCGGC